TTTTGACTCAATTTTTTGTTCAGAATTTTTTCAATAAACAACTCATAGCTGCCAAAACCGGTGAACACAGCCAATTGTTATGCGATTAAAAAACTTATAATCAAGAAATCTATATAAACTGACATTTTGAAGAACAATTTATAAAGATAATTTATGCGCATATATATATATATATATATATGGTTGCACTAAGGGCTGTTTTTCTTTGTGGGATTCTTCTCGATTTGCTTGTTCTATGTAGTTCGGATGCAGAGGTCGTTACGACAGTAAATGTTCTTACAGCTAAAAAACTCCTCAAGCAAGGCCATCTCTATCTTGATGTCAGGTCGATGAACTAATTTAAAGATTTTAATTTTCATTTTCTTTTTTAAGTACTTAAAATATATATATGCAATTATGTATATTTATTTTGGTATGTATTGAATAATTAACAACAGGACTGAGGAAGAGTTCAAGAATGGGCACGTGGAGAAGGCCTTGAACATACCCTACATGATCAATACTCCAAAAGGTACTATATAATTTTTAAATTTTATTTTGCTTAATTTAGAAAATTAATTCAATTTTAAGATACTGTATTTGAGAACATTCAGGGATGGTGAAGAACCCCAAATTTGTGGATCAAGTTTTGTCCCTCTGTAGCAAGGAAGATCATCTTGTTCTGGTAAATAAACCAAGAAAATTGGCTTCAGTTTTACTCCACTAAACTCTTATACCTTAGGGAGGGAGAGGTGTATTCAATTGAGACGTTTTAAAACTTTTTAGAATTAGTGACTTTGGTGGATTTTGCGAAATTTCTAATGATTTCGGTGGATGTTTTGAGACTTCTATAACAAACAGAAATTCTATGGAGTCATCCGTAACTTTGTATATTAACATATGTTCAATATGTATTTATTGCAGGACACGTATCAATACATCATTTATGAATAACTATAGATGACTCTATAAGACGAGTCATTTGATGGTTAGCTCCATAGGAAAACCACCATAGCAAAATCTAACTAATATGATGAGATTTTCACTGAGACTTTGTTTTTGTAATTTTATTTAAAAAATCTCCAGAATTTTTTCAATTTAAAAAGCCTTAGTAAAGTCTTTATACTTTCAATACCAGGGTGACGGACTCTTAGAAAAGTTTCCATTGAATACACTAAAACTTTTAAATATTTATAAAAAGTCTTTAAAAGTTTCAATTGAATACATGTAAGATTTTTTAGAAGTTTTCAAAAAGTTTCAATTGAATACACTAGAATTTTGAAAGTTTTAAAATGTCTTAATTGAATACACCTTAGTCTCATCAATTTTTTTTCCTTGGAGTTTGATCTTGTGAGTTATGGGTGCACAAAATATGGTTAACCAACCGAAGCCGAAAATTCGGTTTGGACTTAAAATGAAACCGAATATTTGGTTCGGTTTTCGGTTTACCGTTTTCTAAAACTTCGGTTTTCGGTTCGTTTTGTGAATATGTTTACAATACCTTAGTTACCACGGTTAATCTTAACAATAGGAAATATGAATTAATTATTGTATTAGTTGATAGCTAAACGGACGTGTAAATTTTGGCAGGGGTGCAAAAGTGGTGTTAGGTCCCTACATGCAGCTACCCAACTTGTTAACGCAGTAAGTCTCAATACTTTTTTACCAATTCACACATCAATTTTGTTTGCCATTGGATCATTGGTGGATATTGATACTGAAATTTATATTCCAACAGAAAATTATATGGTAGTATATTTTAATGGAAATTCTAACGGATATTCGAATGGAATTATTCCGAACTATTCCGTTGGAATGAGTTGTTACATTGAAATTTAGATGGAATTTGATCATTCCAACGACTGTGACTGCAATAGTTTTTTACCGTAAGAATTTCTGTTGGAATGTACAATATTTGTTGGAATTTTTATTTTCACACATATTTCAACCGTCGGAAAAATGTACCGTTGGAATCGTCAAAATCCAACAAATATTCCAATGGAAAAATCTTTCCAACGGAATAGTTTTGTTGGAGTTTTCGTTGAAATCCCATGGAAAATTTCAATGGAAATAATAGCATTGGAATGTACATTGGAATTGTTGTTGAAATTCCATCTGATTAATATATTTCTGTTTGAATTTTTCATTGGAATTTCATCATATTCTTGTAGTGATATATGTTGGAATAATTTGTGTGAATGAAATTATAACGTAAAGGTTAAATTAATTCTTAAGAGTTTTAACATTGATAACATTATAGATGAAAATTTATTATATACACTGACAAATTTATTGCCAAACTTGAATGAAACAAAACGTATTACTCTTGGTTGCTGCATATATATAAATATATAGTCTATAGTTTTGAGAGAAAGACACGCCAAGAAAAGAAAAAATAAACACAATACTTCTTAAAGATTTTTTCTTCATATTTTATAAGTGTTTTGGGTTCAAGCAAAATTACTGTTCACCGAATTTAATTCAATTTTTCTGTTGTATCCTTCGAAACAGACGCTTATACGGTGCAAATATGTCTTAAAGACACTGTTTTCTGATAGGCCTCGATATTATATTAAATAACCATCTTCTTTTCACTTCCCAATATAAAAATTCCCTACAATATATCCATTTGAAATCAATACTCGAATACCATATTGTGTTTCCAATGATCTTTGTCATTTATTTTAATTCTTTTTAGCTCTCCGCAAATCTTTATTTTCTCACAAACTCTATTGATATATTGCAATATGCAGGAATTCAAACATGTGTACAACATGGGAGGAGGAATCAGTGCCTGGATTGACAATGGATTTGAGGTCGTGAAGCCACATACTGAGGATCTATAATTATAATTAACCAAATCGTTCAATATAAGACATTATCCTTTGATAAGGCCTTGCATGGCCCATATTATTACTACAATTTTTGTGATGTTGGATATTTCATTTGACACTGAATATTTTGTGTGGCCCGTACCGTTTCATAGTTTCAATTAAGACCTCTCATCACCAGCCCAGCTATCTTTCACCTTAGGCCCAGTTGGCCCATCTTCACCAAACACCTCATTTGGAAGGCCCCTCATCAACCTCTCAAATGCATCCTTCAATTTCCCAGGCAACAACTTCTCCACCTTCTTCATCTCATCCTCAGTCTTGTACTCGATCTTCGGGCCCCACTTCCTCCGGTAGTTCACCCACCGAGGCTCCACGAAACCGGGCCCCAAGTACTCGGCCCCGACCACTAGAAAATTCGACCCGACATCAAGAAACTTGCCCTTACCACTATCATTCCTTATCCCGATATTCCCACTCCCTTGCAACACCAGACCCTCCTTTGGGTACGACGCGTGCCCGTGAAATGACGAAAATGCCCCCGGCCTATTCCCCTCCACGAAATCCAATTGCGACACGTCCAACCAAACCCCTCCGCTGTGCTGCGAATAGTACATGCTCTTGAGCTCCCCATCGAAATTGCTCACTCTTAACGTTACGTGCTCCCAGTCACCAATGTGCTCCCCGATTCTCCCCAACGAGACATCAAAGAACTTGACTTTTGCCCGGGCCGGGCCGTTAAAAGGGTAAAATAGCCATATTGCTATGTCGGTGGATGTCCCGCCAAACATCGGCTTCACGTGCAAGTAACAACATGCGCTAGACAAGTCCCCCTTTTTAACCACCTCCTTAGCCTCACTATTCGTGGGGAGGTCAATCCAGTAAGTGTCGTCATTCTCGCCGCCTTCTGGAAGGTTCGAGCCTTCCGGGTCGATCGAAACGGGATACGACTCGTCCCCCTTTTTGTAAAGCAAAGCACCGTTTTCAAAGTACCATTTCACGGAGCATGGAAAGTACTCCTCGTCCGGGTGGAAATACACGCGCGGGGAGTAAGCCTTCATAATTGCCTCGATTTGATTCTGGTTAGGCATGGCGTAGTTTTTACCGCTCACGTTCTTAAGACACGGTAAATCCAAGTCAACCCCGTTGTTTCGGACGACAAACGTGCCCGTTTTAACCCCAGTGGCTTGAATTCCCCTGTTTCTCGGTCTTGAGCAGTAGATATTAATCTCGCTTGAGCTGGCGTCCTTTCCCGGGCCCCACACCCACGTCTCGTTCTCGTTGAGGTCCGTAAAATCAGACCGGACGCAACGCAGCTTTTCGAGCGCGGGCTTTTCGGGTGAGTCCGTGACGACGAGCCCGACTGCCTTGTATCCATTCGGAGGAGTTGGGAGCCAAATGTATCCGCTTCTTTCTTGCTTGATTTTCAGATTTTCGCTGGTCCATATAAGAGTGTAGTCGATCGGTTGCTTCAGAGAGCCGCCCGAGGGGTCGTTGGTCGTGTCTTTCCCGACAACAACCCAACCGGAGAGCGGCTTGTTGTTGGACTGGCTGTAGCAGCCGAGCAAATGGAAGCCATCGGGTACGGAGGTTGGCTCGAAAAATGTCGACCCGAGATTGTCGGGCCCGCCTTCGAGTGTGGCCCAGAGTTTGCTGAATTTTGATGCCTGATAAATTTGCAAACCTCCAAGATCAATAGTACCACTTGCAAAACCTTCACCTGGTGGCCAAGATGGAAGTGGAGAAGGAAGTGTGAAGGAGGTTTCAATGGGGAGAGGCTGTTTTTTCTTCTTGAAAATGTTGAAAAAATTAAAGGAAATACCCATTATTATTGATTGATGAGAGCGAAGAATTATGAGAAGTATCAAAGTTTTATACTAAAAGCAGCAAAGAATATAATTCTGTTTAAAGGAGTATGAAAACCCGACCCGCAAGCAAGAAATTCTTTGTTGTTGGGATAATATTTTTAATAGTCCGTGAAAGGCAATGTAACCGTATAACGAATTGGATTTGATTTCTTTACTATGCTTTAAGAACATCTTATTGCAAGAGTGTTCAAAAATATATTTATGACTTTTCTTCCACACAAAGCACTCATTTTTTATTGTGATGATCATTATTTATTTATTTTTATTTTTTTCCTCATTTAACATATGCACCATTTGTAATGGGAAATACTACGGTCTCGTTACGGAATCATTCTGTCGGAATTTGTAACCGTTAGATCAGTATGACCGTCGTGGATAGTTAATTTAACGGTTATGAATCTGACAGAATGATTTTATAACGGAACGGTAGTATTTTCAAGTTCTAATATAGATTTTTGATAGGGTAAATTGCATTTTTCATACCCAAACTAAAGTTCATTTTGGAATTAGTACCCGTTTTTTAACATTTACAAAATCAGTACCCTAACTTTCATTCTGTTAGCAACGTTAGTACCTGACCGTTAGATCTCCGTTAAATTTCCGTTAGTTGTTAACGGAAGTAGGCAAAATAGAAGGAAATTTGTATTTTTGTTATTGGAAATTATTATTCCAATATATACTGCATGAACTAGAATAGAAACCATGTCTTTTCATTTTTCTCGATTTATTATATTTTTTCCAAAAAAAATCGATTTTATCCAATTTTATTTATTATAAATAGTGGAGGCTGCCTTTTTTTGAAAAAAAAAAAAAATGGTACAAATGTCTTATGTATATAGATTTCATCATGAGCCAAAAAAACATAAAAATTTCCTCCATTTTGCCTACTTCCGTTAACAACTAACGGAAATTTAACGGAGATCTAACGGCCGGGTACTAACGTTGCTAACAGAATGAAAGTTTGTGTACTAATTTTACAAATATTAAAAAACGGGTACTAATTTCGAAATGAACTTTAGTTTGGGTATCAAAATTACAATTTACCCTTTTGGATACTTTCTAACATTTTGGGTTGCGGACAAAAATTCATTGGTATTTGCTATACTATGAAAAATGTTGTCAATGGTTGCGTGTGTGGTTGGCAATGCATGCATTTAAGTGCCCATGTCCATTTACTGATGAAGCAAATTAAATTTATATTGAGTGGAGGAAAAATTGCATTTTAATCATGTTGAACGTCATAACCTTTTTAGTCTAAAGATTTTAATTTTTTGCTTTTTAATCCTATAATATAGTATTTTTGTTGTAATTTCAGTCATTTGAGGACTGGAATTGCAACAAAATTTAAAATTACAGGACTTAAATTGCTAATAAAATATTCATCTCAAAAATTTTTTATTAGCAATTTAAGTCATATAATTTAAAACTTTGTTGCAATTTTAGTCCTCCAAAGACTGAAATTACGATGAATTTATAAATCATAGGACCAAATAACAAAATGTTCAGATATCTTGAAACTAAAAACGTCAATGGACCAAACAACATGACTAAAATTACAATTTTGTCGTTGAGTGGATGTATAAATATATATATCCATTGATATATAAGTTTATGATAACTGTGAATTGAACGACCTCACACTTTGACCTAGCTTAGAGGAACGATCTATTATACCTGTTTGTCATATAAGAGCAGTTTTATTTATATCTATCGATTAGTTATTAGGTTGTTATTTGTGTGTAAGTGTGGGTTGAACAACCTCTCCCTTCGAGTTAACTTTTAAGAATGATTTATCATCACATAATATAAATCATGTAATAAGATAATGACTTATATTTGAATGTCATACCAAAAGTAGTAATACATCTTGTACCTTGTGCAACACAAAAAGTAACATAAAGTAGTAAGACATCTTACTTTGATAATTATATTATTAATAATCATAGAAGTGTAAGAAATAATTGGTTTTGTACCGATTTAACAATTCTATTTTTTATAAATAGAAGACTTAGGAAACTCTTAAAAGTCAAAACGTTTGAAAGATGAATGAGAAATTAATTCTAAGTGTTATATGTTAATAAATTGAGTTTAAATAACTCAAAAATTGTAGGGTTCACAAACATTTTGTTTTGACAAATTAAACGAGCCATAATTATGTATTTTGTATGTTAGAATTGTAGAAGGGCTCGTTTGGGACAAGTAGAAAAAAACGGAACTCGATTCCGAGTACGTATGAGCTCGTACGAGCCCGTGGCGCACGGGCGCTCAACTGGCTCCGAATATCAAAGGGTTGCAACCTTTGATGACTGTGAGATATCTTTTGCCCATTAGATGCATCCGTTCTCGTTCGGGCACGTCCCAAAAGGTATCTTTGACACTCAGGGCCGGCCCTGACAAAGGTCAAAGTGGGCATTGGCCATGAGATTTTGGGGCCCCAAATTTATATCTATATGTGTATATATATATAAGTGGATATGAGTTTTTGTTAGTAAATATTTCTACTAATTAAAAAGCCCATAAAAAGTTAGTTTTTATTGGCCCAAGCCCAAACACCTATAAAACAATAAACATATGCAATAAATAATAAAAAATTAAAGTAAATTTAGCTTTTGCAATTGGAAGCAATAACAGAAATGAGAATGACAAGTGGCAATAGAGAATATCAAAATAATTTCTCCCTCAAATTAATCCTCATCTAACTATTTCTAAGTTCTACAAGTTCTACTCTCTCTCTAACGGGCAGAACTTTTTTTTTAGCAAAGCAGATAAAAAATTTGAGCAGATAAAAAATTTTGATCAGGCTTCGGCAATTCAGTCTTCAATTATCTTCTATTTATTCGCGAAAGAGAAAAACACCCAACCAAGAGCACTACAACAATTATTAGGGTTTTTTGGGTTTGAAGATTATCATCCAAGGGATAAATCAGGTTATATTGTTTCTTGATTATATTTTATAATTTTGGTGTTTTATTGTTTCATTGTTAAATTGTTTGATTCTCATGCTCTTTTTTATGTGTTTGTCTAATATTATTTTTCACTTCAATTTTTATTTTAAACATGGGACCTATACCTAAAAAATACCCATCTGGATGTGAAAAGCGAAAAAAAAAAAGAATTGATGAGGTAATCAAAACTCAAAGAGGGGCTCTTGATAAGTTTTTTAAATAGTAATGCCCAAGAGTCGATGATGAATTGCAACAATTGAGTGATCAAGAAGAAGAACGAAATGAATATGTGATGTATGGGCCTGAAAGGATGCAAGAGGATGATAATGATGATTTGAATGATGAAATAGTTGATATAGCTAAGAATGAAAATGAATCTGCAAAAAATTATCATAGTTTAGATGTATCTAATCCTAAAACTTGGGAAAATATTAATAATAAAATAAGAGATTTTTTGATTGAGAAAGGGCGAGCAATATAAAGTTTCCTATAGATGAGTTTGGCAGACATTTTTCATATTCTCATTATACAAGAAAATTACCAAATGGGGAGAATCAAGATAGAAAGTGTACTCAAAAGCCTCAAATAAAGTATATTGTTTTTGCTGCAAATTGTTTAGATCGGTTAATAAAAATAGTTTGTTGGCAAATGACGGTTTGAGTAACTGGAAACGTATAAGTGAAAGACTAAAAAAACAACTCCGAGCTATATTCATAACCATTCTGATGCATGTCTGATCATCTCCGGCGTGAACCATCTTCTTTCTTCTTTTCTTTTTTTAAAGGTATTGAGCATATCAACAATATGAGAACTTGGATTGATTTGCAAGTTAGATTGAGAAAGAATGAAACAATTGATAAAGAGTTGCAAGTTCAAGTTAAAAAAGAGAAAGAGCACTGGAAACTTGTTTTAGCAAGAATCATTTATGTTGTAAAATGTTTGGCCAAGCGTAGTTTTGCTTTTTGTGGAGATAATGAAAAGATTTATCAAAATAATAATGGTAATTTTCTAGGTTTACTTGAGTTGATTGCAGAATTTGATTTGGTGATGCAAGAACATTTTAGACGTATTCAGAACAAAGAAATTCAATATCATTATCTTAGTCATAAGATTCAAAATGAATTGATAACACTGCTTGGTTCTAGGGTGAGAAGTGTTATAATTGAAAAAGTGAAAGAAGCAAAATATTTCTCAGTTATACTTGATTGCACTTCAGATACGAGTCACAATGAACAAATGACCTTGATAATGAGATGTGTTGATACGTCAGTATGCCCAATTAAAGTGGAAGAATATTTCATTAAATTTCTTAAAGTGGATAATACATCTGGATTAGGACTTTTTAATGAGCTACAATCTACTTTAAAATCACTTAATTTAGAAATTGATAATGTGAGGGGGCAAGGTTATGATAATGGTTCCAACATGAAAGAAAAACATCAAGGCGTGCAAAAGAGAATCCTTGAAATCAACCCAAGGGCGTTTTATATGCCATGTGCTTGTCATTCTCTTAATTTAACGGTATGTGATATGACGAATTCATGTGTTAAAGCTGTGTCATTTTTCGGAGTTGTGCAACGCATGTATACTTTATTTGCTAGTTCTACAAAAAGGTGGAGTATCTTACAAAATCATATTCATCATCTGACATTAAAATCATTATCAACAACAAGATGAGAAAGTCATGTTAATAGTGTTGCAGCCATAATAACTCAACCTAATGAAATAAGAGATGCTTTATTTGAGCTATCTAGAGTTAGTGATGATGCAAAAACTAAGAGCGAGGCAGAGTCTTTAGCAACTCATGAACTTGAAAATTTTGAATTTCTATTAGGCATGATTATATGGCATAACATTTTGAAAAAAAAAATGAATTGATTAGCAAAAAATTGCAATCGGAGGATATGCAAATTGACGGCGCTATAAGTATGTTGCAAGGTTTGATTTCATATTTTCAAAAATACAGAGATGAAGGTTCCAATCTTCTATGATATTCGCAAAAGAGCTTGCCTG